TGTCCTGGATCAGGGTGGGGGTCCCCACTAGGGTGCCTGGGTAGCCTGGATGAGGGGATGATGGCTGTTTGCAGCTGGTCACTCACCCTTCAGGGTGGGGGTCCCCACTGGGGTGCCTGGCCAGTCTGGGTGAGGGGCTGAGGGCTGCTTTCAGGCTGGCGGTTGACTGAAGCTCCCAACCGCTCCTTTTTTTCTTTTTTTTTTTTTATTCTGGGCCAGCTTTAGCTCTGGCTCTAGCTCTGAGGCTTCCACTGCTAAAAGCAGGTATCTGGTTTGTTTGCGTTCTATAATCGAAACAATGTATAACTCCAGCTCTGAGATCCTGGCTGGCTGAAAGCTGGTTTCTGGGGTTTTGATTAGCTTCTATATTTGTTACAATGTTTCAAACTGCAAGCTCAGAGGCCGGCAAGTCAGGCGGGGAACGTTGGAGTCTGCCGTCACTGGAGCAAGCAAGCCTCCCTGTTCGCTTCCAGCTGCCTGGCTGACAGCCGCCATTTTGGCTGGCAGTTAATTTGCATATCACCCTGATTAGCCAATGGGAAGGGTAGCGGTCGTACGCTAATTACCATGTTTCTCTTTTATTAGATAGGATTATGTTATTGACTGTATTCCCTGTGCTGTACTTTACCCCCCTGTGACTCTTCATTCCCTTTTTAAAATAACTTCGGTTTCCTAAAGGTATCTGGGGAGTCTCTGTGCCATTCAATATCCCAAAATTGAGAATTTTCTAAGTATTTTAAATATTATATAATACATTTTATATAATACTGGTCTGGGGACCCCTTTTTGTCCCTTGACAAATGGTAAATTGGCAGATTTGTTCTAATCTGCTCATGGAACTACATTCACAAATTTACAATGTGCTATTGTAAATCTTTAAACAAAACTGTTCCCAATCTAACCTTTATGTCCTGAGAATTTTGCCAAGTTTCAAATGGCCGTTTGAGTGGGTTACAACGCATATTTAATTTAGGATAGATGAAAGCAGTGTATAAATACTGCAGTATAACCTATTTCACCTTAGCCTACATAATATATTTGAAAAGAGTAGCTGCGGGATTTTGACACTAACATCAGGGGAATTGAGATGAAAAATAAAGAGAGAGATTTAAATGGATTTTCTGTATGGAAGGGGAATTTTGTTTGAGTATATATGAGAGAAAACATTCTTTAAAACAGAATGCTTTCATGTCCTTTTGCCAGCTGCCTTGAAAGATTAAGTGTAAAATCTGTTCTTTGGAACTTTCTCTCTTAGAGAAAATTGTGATCAGTATCCAGCTAACTTATCTTCTTAAATCATAACTGAAACCCATAAATAGGATCTACATGCTGGTGAGATAAAAGAAATACCATCTAATTATGTGGTTCTGGCTTTTTTCATTACTGACTTTGGCACAGTAAAACTAAACTTGACTTTGGAAACTCAGAAATGAATGCAAACATGTATATATATATATATATATATATATATATATATATATATATATATATCCCAACAAAATTTTAATAATTTTGTTTGATTTATACTTCTATTTCACATGTATTGCTATTCTTGCATGAACCTTTATCTGTGGCATTGTGAGTGCTATGAATATGTCATGTAACTATGCTTTCCTTTCATTATCTTACTACATTTCTACCTAGAGCAGGGGTGGGCAAACTTTTTGACTCGAGGACCACAATGGGGTCTTAAACTGGACCGGAGGGCCAGAACAAAAGCATGGATGGAGTGTTTGTGTGAACTAATATAAATTCAAAGTAAACATCATTACATAAAAGGGTACGGTCTTTTTTTTTTTTAGTTTTATTCATTTCAAACGGGCCGGATCTGGCCCGCGGGCCGTAGTTTGCCCATGGCTGACCTAGAGCATTTCATTTATGAATCTTAAGGGGAAAGTTTCTACATGACTTTAAAAAAAAAACACATTTTACCTGTTACCTTTTGAAATGAATTCTGATTTTATTAATTATGTAGTGTTGTTCATTTACTTTAAGGATCTTCTCTGTTTCTTCTTTTTTCAGATTGGAGATAAAACTTTCCAAGTCCTTGGTGATCTTCATAGTGAGGGAGACTGTACTTACTTGAAATGTTCTATAAATGGAGTTTCTAGTAAAACTAAGTTAATTATCCTGGAAAACACAATTTACCTATTTTCTGTGGTAAGGTCTCTTCTTTGTAATAACGCTGTTGGTGTTTGGGAGAAAATTGCCTGACCAGAGACAGGGGGATTAGAAAGACCCACTTCCTTCAATCTCTTCTGTGTTTCCCCCTCCGCTCTGTTTCTTTGCCATATTCCGGCCTTCTCTTCTTCTTTTGTTCACACAGATTCTCATTGATAGACACATACTCATTTTCTTCCTTTAATTCTGAAACATGTCCTTACACCCTTCTTGTCAGAATATCTCCCTGCTCAGTGGGCCTGTTCTCTCAGGGATTTGATACCTTAACCCTTTCCCCAACCACCATTCTCCTGATACTTGAAACCCTGGGGATCTGGGAGGAGGTGGCCATTGGGAGAGGAGCTGGACCAGATGTTCCCTGTGGGCAAGGTGGTCAGTAGGAAGGGAGTGAGGTGAGGGGTGTTCTCTTGGCAGATGATTGAGGCAGGCTTTGCATGGATTTGGCTAGGAGTTTATCAAGGGACCTTAGGGTTCCACATGGGTTATCAACTATACTGTGGTCTCTTCAGAGTCTTCTCACATGTGGGAACCATCTCACAGATCACAGTCCTTAGTGAGGAGGTGCCCTTAGTGATGAAGTAACGTCTATGGAGTCGAGGATGTTCTCACTTTGCCAGGCATTCCTTCCCGTAGTCAGTATGCTGTGACCCTATGATGGGAGGGACAGGATGGTGAGTGGCGAAGAGCTGACGTTCTGGAATATGAAGCTGCTTCCATTCAAATTCAAACCACTGAGCAGCTGTGTGACTTTGGTCTTCAGTTCCCTCATCTATAAACAGGAATAATAACAATACCTACCTCATAAGGTTATTGTGACAATTATATAAATATAATTATTAAGAACAGTTCCTCCCTCAGACTAAGCACTTGATGGCGGAGATGTTACTAAAAATAGCTTCCAGACAGTGGCTGTCTTTTACCAACAGGATATATCTTAATCCCTTGCATCCCCTCTGAGGCTTGTATACCATTACCCCTGCGTAATGGGAACCAAAACCAAGGAGTTTAGTAATTTTCTCAAGGTCACAAAGCTGGATTAGAACCCTGGTGTTAAAGATGACTAACATTTAACAGATAGCTTGAAAATAATCACGTCAGGTATATTAGTAAAATTACAGGAACAAGATATTGATTTCATTTCTGGTTTGTTTCCTGTTTATAGGAAGGAACTGTTCAGTTTGACATTCCAGTCCCCAAATACTTGTCCTCAGTGAGCTCAGAAGGAACTCAGGGAGGAGCCATAGCGCCCATGACTGGAACCATTGAGAAGGTAACCATGCGAACCTGTGCAGAATAATGCCCAATAAGGCCCAATAGACGTCTTTGCTGAACTATGCCATATATGTTTTTTTTCTCCTCTCTAAATGTCACTCATTGGAAAGCATTCATTTCAAGAAATCAAGGGACTCTATGATAGATTCAAGTTCTATATTACAGTCTTCAGTGAAAATACCAATTTACCTAATGTACAATAAACACTGTTAACAAAAATTTTGAAAATGGGAATTTCCATAAAAGTACAAATAATTTAAATTGTCTTGTTATGATTAAAATAAGAGTATTCACCAAGCATTATTCAAAAGGGCTGTCTTTTTTAAACATGTTTTCATTGACTTTTTTTTTTTAAGAGAGAGAGAGGAAAGGAGAGGGAGAGAAAGAAACATCAACTAGAGAGAGAAACATCAATCAGCTGCCTCCTGCATGCCCCCTACTGGGGATCAAGCCCACAAACCAGGCATGTGACCTGCCTACGAATCTAAGTGGTGGCCTTGATGCTCAATCAACTGAGCCACACCGGCCAGGGCAAAAGGACTGTTTCGTACTGTTAAATTTAACAACAATTTATCATGAATAGTGACATTTTCTCTAATGTACTAACTGCATCAGTGTTAAAATGTGGAAGACTGGTATTGGTGGAGAACAATGTGGTTTGATGTTGAGTGCAGTATGTATCCAGAGTTGAGATCCATACTGATGTACCCTCAAGTGGTAATAGGTCAGAAGTCTCCTTTTAAATACTTGAATGTAGTAGCATCCCCTCAAATTCATTTAAGTCTTAAAAATCAACTGTGTCTTCTTGGTACCACTCCAAAAAAAGAAGAAAAAACTATTTAAGTAGTTTGAGTGATTTCACCAAACGTCCCCCTGGAAATGTTTGCCTGAGAGGCAGTGTGAGCTGGAGACTCCGGTCTGCCTCTAACTCATTCACTCTCAGTCCCCACCGGCCTCCCAGGACGTGGGCATTGCTGCACAGGGGGCAGAACAGGGTTCAGAACAGGGTCTTACATGTAAAGATGCATGTTTTCCCCCAAACTGGGCCCTAAACCCAGACCATTGGTTTCCTCTGACACGAAGGCCTCACCCAGCATTGCAGACTGGGGGGGCTTTCAAGGCTCTTTTTCATTTTTCATAGTTTTGGTTCTGCACCTTGACTGTAGAGCCTAAGTTTACTGTGTTTCCAAACATCCTTGATAACTCTGTTAACAACAAAACACACAAACAGACCATACGGGCTACATGAGTTCATTTATACATGTAAAAAGGAAAATAGAGAGATTTTTCTGGGGTTGCCAATAAGTATAATTCTTTCACCTGAAGATAGTCTATACATTTACTGCACTGGGCCAGAGGACCTGAAACACTATGTCCTAGACAACCTAAAAACTAGACAAACAGAGGCAAGGCCTCCTACTCTGACTATGGTGAAGACATTCAAGTATAGTAGTTCTCCCCAGTTGGTGGTATGTATGTATGTATGTATGTATGTATGTGGTACGTATGTATGTATGTATGTATTTACTTATTTATTACATCACCATTTATCTCTTCTATACCCCCTTCCACCTCCACCCACCCTCCCTCCCTCCCTCCACAATCACCACACTGCTGTCCATGTACATGGGTGGTGTGTCTTGTCTGTACACCCATGGAAAATACAAAAGGGTCTCAAGATATATGAGACATATTACTCTGCTTCAAGGAAAACTAGATGGCTTGGGGGTGGGAATGGGAAACCAAGTAGGGCCTCCCGCTGACAACAGTGCCAGCGATGCCAGGCTGCCCTGTAGGTCTCCGATGGTGCCTTTGTCTTTGGCAGACAGGACAACCGCAGACTCATGCGTCCGCTGTGTTCATTTGTATATCAGCTCTGTGGACCACAGAGGACCTCTGTGTTTCCAAGGATTAACTTGTCCCTCTGGACCTCTAGGTGTTCGTAAAAGCTGGAGACAAGGTCAAAGCTGGAGATTCTCTAATGGTCATGATCGCCATGAAGATGGAGGTAAGTACGTGCAATCGTGAGGTCAGTTGCCAGGTAAACGGTGGGCGGTTAGCAGACCTAGTTGTTCTTTTCCCTTATTTAGTAAGTTAAGGCCATTTTACATATTAAGAGCCATGGGCTGATAAAACATTAACTGCAGAAAAAAAACAAACATTCTTCTCATTTTAATTTTGTGAAATCGCACCCGTCGTTTGATTCTGAAATTAATGAAATTATTAATATCTTAGATTCAGGCAGTAACCCAACTGAGTATTAGCTATGGGTGCTTTCCAGGGCCAAACCTAGGGTGCCAGCGCTCAGTGTCAACGTGAAAACCTCAGTCACATTCAATTAGCTCTTTAGGTTTTCACGTGGCTGGAAATTAAAGGCCAGTGGTTCTCAGACCTCGCCACACTTTGTAAGCCACACGTGGGAGCTTTTCAAGAC